AGGTTCCCTGTCCCTGCTCCAGCCTCTGCCTCCTTCCTTTCTGCGTCTGGGTTTGGCCAGGAGCTGCTGTGCGCCCAGGCAGCCTCGAGGCATTTTTTTTTTTTTCCCGACTGCCCACTCTGGGGTCGCGGCCCTCTGGAGCTTGGAGGAGGTGATCCCTGAACGTCAGCCAGCTCTCCCGGGCCCCTCTTCCCTCCCACTGCCCGGTGCCAGGGGACTCTTCCAAGCAGACCTTTGCAGAGGCTGGAGCCTGCTCTGCTGAAGCCCAGGGCTGTGAGCCGCCTCCTCCCCACGCTCAGCATCCTGCACGCCCCCCTCTCACGGCCGCTGCAGCCCAGGCTGCCCGAGACCTCCCCATCCCCAGCGAGCCCCTCCTCGGTGGCGAAGGTGAGCTCCGGCGCAGCCCCTCTCCTCCCCGGCCGCCCGTCCATCGGAGGAGAGGCGGACGCTGTCATCGCTGTGCTTGGGAGCCTCCTGTGCTGCCGGCGTGTCCCTCGGGCAGGTCCCTGCAGCCCCCCGTGAGGACCCTGTGACCGTGGGGCTGCTCCCGCCGGTGTGTCGAGGGCCTCACCTGCTGCTCCCCCCCACCCATCCCTTCTCCTGCCTGTCTGGGTGGGCGCCGAGCAGTGGTGTGCCGGCACCCCCCCGCCCTGGGCGCCAGGTGCCACGGGCCAGCCGTGCGCCCCCGCCCGACCCCCAGCTCCTCTCCCTGCAGCTCGGCGAGGGTCTGGGCACCAAAGAGACGCCCCAGCAGCGGTACCAGCGGCTGCAGCACGAGGTGCAGGAGCTGGTTCGGGAGGTGGAGCAGATCCAGGTGAGCGCCAGCCCTGCCTCGGGGGCCCGTGGGGAGGCTGTGCCTGGGGGGTGACGCGGCTGCCTTTGCTCCCCCTGCCGCAGAGCACGGCAAAGGAGTCGGCGGCGGCGGAGGAGCTGACGCCCATGGCCTTGGCCAGGCAGGTGGAGGGCCTGAAGCAGCAGCTGGTCTCCAGCCACCTGGAGAAGCTGCTGGGCCCCGGCGCAGCGGTCGACTTTGCCGACCCCGATGGCGCCCTGGCGAGGTGAGCGGGGTCCTGGGACCCCGGGGGGGCGGGGGGAGGCTGCCCGTGTCCCCGCGGGGCGCTGCGGGGCCCCGTGCCCACCGTCTCCCTGCCCAGGCGCCTGCTGCAGCAGCTGGAGGTGGCCAAGTGCAGCAAGGCGGCGGCGGGGAAGAGCCCCGCCAAGGGCCCGGCGCCCGCCGGCGACGCCGTCACCTTCGAGCTGTACTGGCGGCCGGAGCAGGACCAGTTTGCCCAGACGGCCAAGGTGAGCGGGGGGCGGCGGGGGACCCGTGCCTGGCCCCGGAACGGGCTGTCCTGCCGCCTCAGCCCTCATCTGTGCCCCCCCCCGCCCCCAGATTGCGGAGCTGGAGAAGCGGCTGGCGCAGCTGGAGGCGACGGTGCGCTGCGAGCCCGACAGCCAGGTGAGGGGCCGGGGGCTCCTGCCCTGCCACTCGCGTGCCCCACTCCCACCCCACTGACGCGATTTCCTTCCCCGCAGAACCCGCTGTTGGTCGGGCTGAAGGGCAGCAGCCTCGTGGTGAGTCGGGCAGGGGGTGGGGGGCTCGCAGGGTCCCTCCCCCCGGGCTGTGCCTGTCAGGCTCGGGGGGGCAGCGCCAGGGTGCTGCCGTGCCCCCCCTCACCCTGCGCCCCGTCCCCAGGAGACTGTGCAGGTGCTGCAGGCCAAGGTGAACATCCTAGATGTGGCCGTGCTGGACCAAGTGGAGGCCCGGCTGCAGGTGGGTGTCGTGGGGCCGGGGGAGAGCCGCGGGGCAGCCCTGGCCCAGGCAGTGAAATTGGGGGCGGGCACCGCTGGATTTGGGGTCTCACGTCTGCTCCCCCCTCCCCAGAGCGTCCTGGGGAAGGTGAATGAAATAGCCAAGCACAAGGCGACTGTGCAAGATGCCGACACGCAGAGCAAGGTCAGGGCTGGTGGGTTGGGCCCCCCGAGGCGGCCGCAGGGGATACAGGGAGCCCCCCCTCCAGCCCACGCTGAACCCCTGCTCCTCGCCCGGCCCCGGCCCCCAGATCCACCAGATCTACGAGACGATGCAGCGCTGGGACCCCGTGGCCAGCACCCTGCCTGACGTCGTGCAGAGGCTGGTGACCCTGCGGGACCTGCACGAGCAAGGTGAGGGGGGGCAGGAGGGGCTGGTGGGGCCGGCAGCGTGGTGGGAGCGGGAGCGTTTCGGCGGGGGGGTCGCTGCTCCGCGGCCCAGCACCGAGCTGGCTCCTGCCACGCAGCCACCCAGTTCGGGCAGGTCCTCGTGCACTTGGACACCACGCAGCAGGAGATCGCGGCTGCTCTCAAGGACAACACGGTGCTGCTGGCTGAGGTGGGTCCCCCGTGCGCCTGCCGGGGCGGAGTGGGGTCCCCCCCCACCCCCCCGCTCACCCCCCGCCCCCCTCACCTGCCCAGGTGCAGAAGACCATGAAGGAAAACCTGGCTGTTGTAGAGGACAACTTTGCAGACATTGACGCCCGCATCAAGCGGCTGCAGAAGTGAGGGCAGGCTGGAGACCCCGCCAGGCCAGGGGGCCCTGCGAACCCCTGGGAATCGCTCCCTCCCCCCCGCAGGTACCAGCCCCCACTTGTATATACCCTGGCTCTGCCCCCACACACAGGGTGGGGGTCTGGAGGGCTCCCCCCCACCCCTCCATTCCCGCCTCGGGGCAGGGTGGGGGTCTCTGCGCCCGCCAGGTTCACCCCAATAAACAGCTTAGCTCTAAATGCAGCCGCGTTGGCATCTCCTTCGGGCTGGGGGGCACGGGGGGGGGGGCCCAGCCGCCGGGTTTTAAAACGTATCTTTTAATGGTGCATCCCCCCCGCCACCTCCTCCAGCCTCCTGGTTGCACTAAATCCTATCGCTGCCGGAAAGCTGCGACCCCCGGGGGGAACGACCCTCCCCGAGCCTGAGATAATGGGGGGCAGCGGGAGGTGCGGGGTGGGCTGTGGGCCCGGAGCCCCCAGCTGCGCCTGCCAGCACCGATCCTGCCCCCCAGCACAGGGCCGTCCCTGGGGTGGGGGCTGCCGCTGGCAAGCCGGGCTGGAGCCCGGGGGCAGTTGCCGGCCCAGGATCTGGTGAGGGTGGCCGAGCCGTGGCAGGATGGGTGCCGGGCCGGGGCACACGGGGCACTGGCTGCATTTGCCTCCCACTCGCTCGGCCCCGTGGCCGCGGGAGAGGCTGGATGCACGCAGCTGTGCCCTTGCAGGGGAGGGTCAGCTCAGGGAAAACTTTTGGAAACGGGACATACATGAGTGCACAGGCACAGATGACCCCAAAACCATGCAGAGGTGCCTGCACAGAGCTCACCCCAAGGGCAACCCGTGGGCGGGGGTGTGCAGCCCCCTGTGGGTATCTGTGCTGGGTTTCTGATGCAGGGTTTTTGGTAGCAGGGGAGAGGCCCCCTGTGAGAACCTTCTCAAAAGCTCCCCGGGCTCCAAGTCAGACCCCGCTCTGGCCAGGGCCGAACCCATCAGCGACGGGAGAATGGAGTTAAGGAGGAAAACCTGGGAGGGGGTTGGGGCTCGCGAGGAGGAGTTGTGAGGAGGACAAACACCCAGGTCGGTGGAAGAAAAGAGGAGGAGGAATCGGGGGAGGTGTGCGGGAGCAGAGACCCCTGCGTCCCGGGGGGAGAGGGCAGGGCCGCCCACCCTGCCACCCCTGGAGGTCCATGGTGGAGCAGGGGCCGGCCTGCAGCCTGGGAAGGAGCCCACCCCGGGACAGGCGGCTGCACCTCGTGGAAGCCGGGACTCTGAGGGGAGAAGCGGCCCCGCTGTTGTGGTTCGGCGCTGGGAGGGCTGCGACACACGGGGGGCCCACGCCAGAGCAGCGTGGGAGCGGCTGCGGCCCGTGGGGAGGACCCACTGCCGAGGAGGTTCCCGGAGGAATGTCTGCAGTGAGAGGGGAGCCCCGGGGAGCTGGGGAGGAATGTGCGGTGCTCCCCCACCTCCCGAGAAGGAAGGAGCGGCGAGCTGGCTGTGACCCCCATCCCCTGCCCCCTGCGCTGCTGGGGAGGTGGAGAGGTGGGGAGCAGAGCTGAGCCCGGGGAGAAGGGAAGGGTGGGGAGGTGCTCTTGGGTGTGGTGGCACTTCGCACTGTCCTATTCTGTTAAGTGCTGTTGTGGTTAGGGTCTGAATTAAATTTATGTTCTTTTTCTTCCCCTAACAGGTCTCTCTTTTGCTAGTGACCAGTGACCATACTGGGTGAGCCGTGAGCCATCCCTCCATGTCCTTACCTGGATTCTGAAGCCCTTTTCTTTATATCTTCTTCCCATTCCAGAGAGGGAAGGGAAGAGCAAGCGCCTGCGTGGGGCTCAGTTGCCCTCTGGGCTCAAACCACAACAGTACCCACCCGCTCACCCCCTGTGTGGACTCCTGTGAAACCCAGCATGTGTGGAAGGGGGTATGTATGTGTAAGAGTACTTGTGCAAGGGTGCGTGTGCGGACAAGGCAGCAGGAGAGGGGCCACGTGCACACGCATGCCTGTACCAAGCAGCGTGGCCGTGCACGCTTGTGCACACACATCGGCCGGGGCTTACACCGGGCGGGCGGCGTGTGCACAGGCACGTGTGCGCGGGGCACAAGGACACATTGGCACGTGTGTCCTGGCATGTCCTGGGGGTAGAGGGTGCCAGAGGGGCTCCCCACTTCTTTCCCACCCCTTTGCTGCACTCGGTGTCTGCGGCCGTCTTCACCCCCAGGTCAGCGTCCCTGGGGGGCCGAGGGGACTGTGCTGCCCCACAGCCCACCCCGCACCTCCCGCTGCCCCCCATTATCTCAGGCTCGGGGAGGGTCGTTCCCCCCGGGGGTCGCAGCTTTCCGGCAGCGATAGGATTTAGTGCAACCAGGAGGCTGGGGGAGGTGGCGGGGGGGATGCACCATTAAAAGATACGTTTTAAAACCCGGCGGCTGGGCCCCCCCCCCCGTGCCCCCCAGCCCGAAGGAGATGCCAACGCGGCTGCATTTAGAGCTAAGCTGTTTATTGGGGTGAACCTGGCGGGCGCAGAGACCCCCACCCTGCCCCGAGGCGGGAATGGAGGGGTGGGGGGGAGCCCTCCAGACCCCCACCCTGTGTGTGGGGGCAGAGCCAGGGTATATACAAGTGGGGGCTGGTACCTGCGGGGGGGAGGGAGCGATTCCCAGGGGTTCGCAGGGCCCCCTGGCCTGGCGGGGTCTCCAGCCTGCCCTCACTTCTGCAGCCGCTTGATGCGGGCGTCAATGTCTGCAAAGTTGTCCTCTACAACAGCCAGGTTTTCCTTCATGGTCTTCTGCACCTGGGCAGGTGAGGGGGGCGGGGGGTGAGCGGGGGGGTGGGGGGGGACCCCACTCCGCCCCGGCAGGCGCACGGGGGACCCACCTCAGCCAGCAGCACCGTGTTGTCCTTGAGAGCAGCCGCGATCTCCTGCTGCGTGGTGTCCAAGTGCACGAGGACCTGCCCGAACTGGGTGGCTGCGTGGCAGGAGCCAGCTCGGTGCTGGGCCGCGGAGCAGCGACCCCCCCGCCGAAACGCTCCCGCTCCCACCACGCTGCCGGCCCCACCAGCCCCTCCTGCCCCCCCTCACCTTGCTCGTGCAGGTCCCGCAGGGTCACCAGCCTCTGCACGACGTCAGGCAGGGTGCTGGCCACGGGGTCCCAGCGCTGCATCGTCTCGTAGATCTGGTGGATCTGGGGGCCGGGGCCGGGCGAGGAGCAGGGGTTCAGCGCGGGCTGGAGGGGGGGCTCCCTGTATCCCCTGCGGCCGCCTCGGGGGGCCCAACCCACCAGCCCTGACCTTGCTCTGCGTGTCGGCATCTTGCACAGTCGCCTTGTGCTTGGCTATTTCATTCACCTTCCCCAGGACGCTCTGGGGAGGGGGGAGCAGACGTGAGACCCCAAATCCAGCGGTGCCCGCCCCCAATTTCACTGCCTGGGCCAGGGCTGCCCCGCGGCTCTCCCCCGGCCCCACGACACCCACCTGCAGCCGGGCCTCCACTTGGTCCAGCACGGCCACATCTAGGATGTTCACCTTGGCCTGCAGCACCTGCACAGTCTCCTGGGGACGGGGCGCAGGGTGAGGGGGGGCACGGCAGCACCCTGGCGCTGCCCCCCCGAGCCTGACAGGCACAGCCCGGGGGGAGGGACCCTGCGAGCCCCCCACCCCCTGCCCGACTCACCACGAGGCTGCTGCCCTTCAGCCCGACCAACAGCGGGTTCTGCGGGGAAGGAAACCGCGTCAGTGGGGTGGGAGTGGGGCACGCGAGTGGCAGGGCAGGAGCCCCCGGCCCCTCACCTGGCTGTCGGGCTCGCAGCGCACCGTCGCCTCCAGCTGCGCCAGCCGCTTCTCCAGCTCCGCAATCTGGGGGCGGGGGGGGGCACAGATGAGGGCTGAGGCGGCAGGACAGCCCGTTCCGGGGCCAGGCACGGGTCCCCCGCCGCCCCCCGCTCACCTTGGCCGTCTGGGCAAACTGGTCCTGCTCCGGCCGCCAGTACAGCTCGAAGGTGACGGCGTCGCCGGCGGGCGCCGGGCCCTTGGCGGGGCTCTTCCCCGCCGCCGCCTTGCTGCACTTGGCCACCTCCAGCTGCTGCAGCAGGCGCCTGGGCAGGGAGACGGTGGGCACGGGGCCCCGCAGCGCCCCGCGGGGACACGGGCAGCCTCCCCCCGCCCCCCCGGGGTCCCAGGACCCCGCTCACCTCGCCAGGGCGCCATCGGGGTCGGCAAAGTCGACCGCTGCGCCGGGGCCCAGCAGCTTCTCCAGGTGGCTGGAGACCAGCTGCTGCTTCAGGCCCTCCACCTGCCTGGCCAAGGCCATGGGCGTCAGCTCCTCCGCCGCCGCCGACTCCTTTGCCGTGCTCTGCGGCAGGGGGAGCAAAGGCGGCCGCGTCACCCCCCAGGCACAGCCTCCCCACGGGCCCCCGAGGCAGGGCTGGCGCTCACCTGGATCTGCTCCACCTCCCGAACCAGCTCCTGCACCTCGTGCTGCAGCCGCTGGTACCGCTGCTGGGGCGTCTCTTTGGTGCCCAGACCCTCGCCGAGCTGCAGGGAGAGGAGCTGGGGGTCGGGCGGGGGCGCACGGCTGGCCCGTGGCACCTGGCGCCCAGGGCGGGGGGGTGCCGGCACACCACTGCTCGGCGCCCACCCAGACAGGCAGGAGAAGGGATGGGTGGGGGGGAGCAGCAGGTGAGGCCCTCGACACACCGGCGGGAGCAGCCCCACGGTCACAGGGTCCTCACGGGGGGCTGCAGGGACCTGCCCGAGGGACACGCCGGCAGCACAGGAGGCTCCCAAGCACAGCGATGACAGCGTCCGCCTCTCCTCCGATGGACGGGCGGCCGGGGAGGAGAGGGGCTGTGCCGGAGCTCACCTTCGCCACCGAGGAGGGGCTCGCTGGGGATGGGGAGGTCTCGGGCAGCCTGGGCTGCAGCGGCCGTGAGAGGGGGGCGTGCAGGATGCTGAGCGTGGGGAGGAGGCGGCTCACAGCCCTGGGCTTCAGCAGAGCAGGCTCCAGCCTCTGCAAAGGTCTGCTTGGAAGAGTCCCCGGCACCGGGCAGTGGGAGGGAAGAGGGGCCCGGGAGAGCTGGCTGACGTTCAGGGATCACCTCCTCCAAGCTCCAGAGGGCCGCGACCCCAGAGTGGGCAGTCGGGAAAAAAAAAAAAAATGCCTCGAGGCTGCCTGGGCGCACAGCAGCTCCTGGCCAAACCCAGACGCAGAAAGGAAGGAGGCAGAGGCTGGAGCAGGGACAGGGAACCTGGGACGAGGACAGAGACATTGCCGGAGCAGCCAGGGATGAGGCTCGGAGAGCCAGAGCCTGGCTGGAACTCAACCCGGCCAGTCAGGTCTGAGGCAACAAGAAGGGCTTCTGGGAGACCCCGGGGACAGAAGGATGGCGAGGGGACGTGGGGACCCGCTCCTGAATGAGGCGTGGGGCCTGGGCACGCACGCAGGACGGGGCGAGGCACTGGAAGCACTGGGAGCTGCCTTCGCCTCCAGCCCAGCCGGCCGTCAGGGATCACCAGCCACAGTGGCTCAGGGAAAGGCTGGAGCAAGACAGGCGTGCCCGTGGTGGAGGAGGATCAGCCCAGGGAATACTGGGCGAAACCGGACACTCCTGAGTGCACGGGCACAGAGGGGATGAGCCCGCGAGGGCCGAGGGACCTGGCTGATGGCACGGCAAGGCCACGCTCGACAATCGCCGATGGGTCACAGTGACGGGGAGAAGTGCCAGAGGAAAGCCAACATCAGCCCCATCGTCAAGCAGGGCAAGGAGGAGGCCCCAGGCAACCACAGGCCGGGCAGCCTCTCCTCCTTCCGTGGCAGGGCGATGGAGCAGCTACTCCTGGACACCATTTCCAGGCACATCAACGACAGAAAAATCATCGAGAGAAATCAGCAGGCCTTCACCAAGGGCAAGTCATGCTTGCCCAACTCGATAAACTTCTACAGTGGAACGACTGGCCTGGTAGACAGGGAGAGAGAACTGGGCATCGTCTGCCCGGTCTGCAGGAAAGCCTGACGCTGTCCCCCGCAGGATCCTCCAGGAGAAGCTGCTGAGCTCCGGGCTGGAGGAGCAGGCAGTGAGCTGCATCGGGACTGGCCGCAGACAAGCCCGGAGGGAGGTGGCCTTCGGCCCAAAGTCTGCTTGGGGGCCAGTAATGACCAGCGCGCCCAGGGGTCGGTGCTGGGTGCGATCCTCTCTAACATCTTCCTGAATGATCTGGGTGGCGGGGCGGGGTGAACCATCAGGAAATTGGCAGGTGACACCGTGCTGGGAGGAGCGGCTGAGACACCAGAGGGTCGTGCTGCCGTCCAGAGGGACCCGGACAGGCTTGAGAGACGGGCCCACTGGAGCTCACTGAGGGGAAGCACAAAGCCCTGCTCCTGGGGTGGAACTGCCCCAGCACCAGCGTATGCTGGGGGCCACCCAGCTGGGAAGCAGCTCTGGAAAAGGCCCCAGGGCCCCTGGTGGACACCGAGCTAAACACGATCCAGCCAAGGCGGCTGACGGTGTCCTGGGCAGCATTAGGAGTGTTGCGGTTGAGGCAGGTGATCCTTCTCCTCTCCTCAGCACTCCTGAGGCCACACCTGGAGTGCAGTGTCCAGTTCTGGGTTCCCCAGTAAGAGAGAGACGTGGACATACTGGAGAGAGTCCAAGCAAGGGCCACAAAGATGCCGAAGGGGCTGAAGCATCTCTCCTATAAGGAAAGGCTGAGAGAGCTGGGACTGTCCAGCCTGGAGAAGAGAAGGCTCTGGGGTGTCTTACCTGAAGGGAGGGTGCCAAGAGGACCGAGGCTGGCTACTCTGAGTGGTGCCCTGGACCAGGACCAGGGACCATGGGCAAAAACTGCACCACAGGAACTTCCCCCTGACTATCAGGAAAACTTTTTCACTGAGAGCAACTAAGCACCGGCAAAGGTTGCACAAAGTCATGGTGCGGTCTCCATCCTTGGTTATATTCAGAAGCTGCCTGGACATTTTCCCGGGTAACAGGCTCTAGGTGAACTGAGCAGGGAATTGGACCAGATGACCTTCAGAGGCCCCTTCCCACCTCCACCCCACTGGGATTCTGTGTGATTTGTGGCTCGCAGCAGGGACGTCACTGTGGGGCAAGGGGGGACGAGGGACCATGCACTGGGGCGGCTCACATCCCCATATGCTCTGGACTCACAATTTCATACTCCCCAGATTTGTAGCCCGTTGTCCTAGGCTTACTGATGCAGTCGGAAAAATCTGGAATGGAAATAGCAGAGTATCACCCCAAAATACCGAAGACACCTGTGCCCTCCCTGGGGTCAGTTCAGGGTCCCCACAGCCCTCCCTTCCCCAAACCCCCTGGCTCACCCACTCCCTTGGTGCTCAGGTGCTTGTCCCTGAACTTCTCGTACGCGGCGTTGGGGTTGATGATGAGATGCTCCACGCTGGTACTGGTGAGCTCCTCCTGCACACAACGCTCGCCGTTAGGGACGAGGCAGCCACGAGGGTTTGTCGGCAGAGCTGCCGCCTCCCTGCAGCGCCAGCAGCCATCGGGGCTGGCACTGGGGAGAGGATGGACAGTAACGGGGTGGGCGGTGAAGCTGGCCCCATCCTCCCCAGGATGAAGGCACAGCCCCCAGGGAATGACACGCCAGGATGGAACCGAGCACGTACCCAGGCCCTGGTGCGGGGGGACATCAGACCCCTGGCCCGGGCTGGCAGGCAGGAAACCCCCCCCCGAGGGCCTGGCAGCGGGGCCAGAGGCACGAGCACACACTGAGGCTGGAAGCCTTTTGGCAGCCCCACAACCAGCACCTGGGAAGCAGCTGCAGAGCCCACGCGCGTCGTGGGCAGCCAGAGCGGCCCTGGCCCAGCAGCGCTGGAGCTGCCCCACGGCCGCCTTCCAGGGCGGCTCCCACCACTCGGGGGACATCGGGCAGCTTGCGGGACTTCAACCCCTACAAGGCCAACGGGCCTTCGCCCGGAGCCTGGCCGGGCGAGTGCAGACACTGAGACTGGGCTCTCCTTGCCTGCCGCCAGGCTCGGGGGGGCCCTGGCCCCGTGGGAGGCACCCAAAGGGCCCCCCCACCTGCTGCCCTGGGCCATGGCAGCCCCTCTCCAGCCCCTGTGCCCGGCCACAGCCTGGAGTGCTTTCAGGGAGCCCTGGCACGCTGCGAGGGGGCAAGGAGGGGTGAGAGCAGCGGGAGCAGCGCCAGCAGCGTTGGGGGGACCGGCCGGGCGTGGGGAGGCAGCGGCGAGCGCCCCGAGCAGAGCGCAGGGTTACGGCGGCCGACGGACGGGCTCTTACCAGCTCCTTGCGTTTCCCAGAGGTGAGAAAGTCAGAGCAAAGTTAGGAGGAGAGCGGGGAGAGAGAGACAAAAACGGCGTTAGAAGGTTTGTCCCATGCACGGCCTGCTGTCCCCCACGGCCCTGCGCCGAGGCTGCAGCTGGGCTGGCCCCGCGCGAGGGCTCAGGAGCCGCGCGGGACGTGGGGGCTGCCAGCGTGGAGAGGGCAGCGGCGGGGGCAGCGGCGGCGCGGGCCGGGGCAGCGGAAGGCTGCACCCCTCCACCGGGCACCCCAGGGCAGCGGGGGTGCGCGGGTCGTGGACCCCGTGAGGGGAGGTCCCGGGGCCCAGCGCGGGGTGGGAGGGACGCAGATGAGCCTCAGATCTGACAGCCTCCCTTCAGCTCCGGCTCTTCTGTTCCCCCCTTGGGGACGGGGAGCAGAGCCCGGGCCAGGACGGGCCCCCACCGAGCAGCTCGGAGCCCCGCGGCTCCACGGGGCGCCCACGGGCAGGAGGGAGGCACTGGCTGCGGTCCTGGGGGGAAAAACCCCAAAGCCCGTCCCTGGAGGGGCACACACTGTCCCCTGCTGAGCAGCCGGCCCCGTGCCGCGCTGGCAGCAGGGAGGGGGCTCAGCGCAGCCCCCCCTCACTGCCCGGGTCCTGCCCAGCCCCACAGCACGCTGCAAAGCCTGGCAGGACAGGCTGCGCAGGGACGGCAGCGACCGGCCCTGGGCAGCACCCCTCTGCGCAGGCAGCGTTGCCGGGGGGGCACGAGGCCGCTGAGACCCGTTGTGGAGGGCCAGGGGGTCCCTGGGTGTCCCGAGGGGGACAGCACATGCAGCCAGGCAGGGCAGATGCAGAGAGGGCGAGGGAGAGCAGGGAGGCGGCAGCAGCAGCATGTCGCGCCCTGGGACCCACAGCCGCTGCCGGTGCCTCCCCTCTGCCCCACAGCGGGGTGACCCACAGCTGCGAGCAGGCAACGCAGCGACAGGCAGCGGCTGCGGGGCTCCGTGCACACCGGCTGCATGCAAACCCAACCCCAAACGGCATGCAGAACCAGAAGCAGCAAACGGGCTTACTTGTGCAAACTAGTGTCCAGGCAAGGTGGGGAGCAGGGAGGGGAAGAGCAGTGGGAAAACTCAGGTCAGTTCAGCGCACGAGAGCCGGGAAACACAACAAAGCTGCGCGAGGGGCTTCCAGGAGAGGAGACGACAGCAACCAAAACCCCAGTGACGCTTCGCCTCCCGCCCGCAGCAAGGTGGCACGGAGGGAAGACACCGGGGGCGGCGCCGCTGTGGCACCACTCTGTTCTCGGGTTCCGTTTGGGCATCACCGAGGCCTGATGGGGGCAACTTTGGGTGGAAACAACCCGTTTCAATCCACCCTGCTGCTCTGGCTCTCACAAGGGATCTCTCTACCCTACTCAGAATGGGGGGCCGCGAGCCTGCTGTGCCCCTGCACCATGCGCAGCACACGGTTCCGTGCCAGCCCATGCCCGGTGGGGCCACACCGACCCCACGTCCCCCACAAACGCCAGCTGCACCCCGGGGAGAAGCCAGCTCTCCCCCCTGCGCTGCCAGGGCCCAGCTCCCCCCACCCAGGCTCAGGCCAACCGGGAGCGCGTGCCGGCCAAGCGGGGCCCAGGGGGGTCCGAGCAGCCATTTGGGCAGCGATCCATGAGCCCTCGTCAGCGCTCGGCCTCACCAGCAGAGCCGGGGGTCACCACGCAGCCCCGGGTGCGCCCCTCGGGCCGTGTCAGCCTCGAGGACGAGCCACAGTGTCACTCCACATCTGAGCCGCCGTGCAGCAGGAACGGCCACTGCCTGGGCACAGCAGAGTCTGCCACGGGGCTGGTCTGCAGGGCCCCGCCAGCATTAGGAGCTGATTTTTGGGGGGAACTGGCCTTCACAGGCCCCCTTTGTCCTCCCTGGGCTGCCCATGCAAAGCCAAGGGGGAGGGAGGGCTGGCCGGCCCGGCTGGCTTCTGCTGTCCTCGGCCGTGTCGTGCAGGACATGGACACAGACACGGGGATGCCCACCCTGCGTGGGGCGGGGGCTGCACCCTCCCCTCACTTCTTGACCCCCGCCCTGAGCAGCGGCAGGCTGAGAGATGGGGCTGGCTCTTCGCTGGAACACGTCGGCGGGGGGGACGCGGCAGCACAGGGGCGCGAGCGGGGACAGGAGCCATTTCCCTGCCACGGTGCCAGTCTGGCTGTGGGACGGGGGCACGAGCAGTCGCTCCCCCCCACCCCGCGGCACGGCCCCGGCCAGGCCTTACCGCCTCGAACTCCGCCTGGTCGTCCTCGGGCAGGTCACTGGTCTCGTACAGGTCAGGTTCGTTCCTGGCCTGGGGCACAAACGGGCTCTGGTGAAACCCCGGCTCACCTCAGCCATTCGTTAACCATTTATGATCAAATACCCCACATCTGCCCCAAACGGCTGCAGACGCCCCCTCACCCCAGACACCCCCCCAATCTCCCCAAAGACCCAATGTACCTTCCGGACTCCCCAATGTCCCCAGACACCCCACTTACTGCTCTCGTTCCCCCTGACAACTCCAAACGCCCCAGCTACTCCCAACCCCCCCAAGATGCCCTTTCCCCCTCCCCCCGGCAGTCCCCGGCACCCCCCAGCTCCTCAAACACCCCACTTACACCCCCAGCCTCCTCAGATCCCCTCCGACACCCCAAACGCCTCCAATCCCCCTGGCAGCCCCCTCCCACACCCACAGTCTCCCCAGATGCCCCGTTTCCTGACCCAAGGCCCCGGATCCCCTTAGACCCCCCAAACCCCTCCCACCCCGCCAGTCCCCACGCCGATCCCCACGGTTCCCCTCAGACCCCCCCGATCTCCTCAGGCCCCACAGATCCCCCCATCCCCTCAGACCACCTCAGTCCCGCCCCGCCCCGCCGGACCCCCCCGTTCTCCTCTCGGCCCCCCGACCCCTCAGACACCTCGGGGCCCCCCCGACCCCTCATCCTCAGGGCCCCCCCGACCCCTCAGACACCTCAGGGCCCCCCCGACCCCTCAGACACCTCACGGGCCCCCCCGACCCCTCATCCTCAGGGCCCCCCCGATCCCCTCAGACACCTCAGGGCCCCCCCGACCCCTCAGACACCTCAGGGCCCCCCCGAGCCCCTCAGACCCCCCGGCCCACTCCGGCCCGCCCCCGCACTCACGATGCCGGGCAGGTCGGCGTACTTGGGGTCGGCCATGGCCGGGGGTCGGTACCGGTGCGGGGCGGGGGGAGGGGATGGTCGGGGACAGTAACGGGGGGTCGGTAACGAAGGGGTGGGGGGGGGGGTCGGTAACGGGGTCGGGCCGCGGTGCGGGAAGCACCGAACAGGGGCGGGGCCGCCGGCGTCGATCTCGCGAGAGCCGCGCGCGGGTTAGGCGGGGAAACGGAGGGAGCGGGGGCGTGGCCTGCGCGGGGGCGTGGCCTGCGCGGGGGCGTGGCCTGCGCGGGGGCGTGGCCTGCGCGGGGGCGTGGCCTGCGCGGGCGGACGGGGAGAGCCGGCGGGGTTGAGGGGGAGACCCGGGAGGGGCACCCACGAGAGGGGCACCCACGGGATGGACACCCACGGGAGGGGCACCCACGGGATGGACACCCACGGGAGGGGCACCCACGGGATGGACACGGGGGGCGCACATGGGTGGGTGCGCAGGAAAGGGGCGCCCGGGTGTGCGCCCACGGGGGGGGCGCACGGGCTGGGGCACACGGAGGGGCTGCAGGCTGCTGCCCGTTGCGGTGCCGCTGGTGGGGTGCGCTCCGTGCAGGCGCGCTGCGTGGGCCTGAGGGTCACGGAGGGGGCGGAACTCCCTGACTGCGCATCCGTGCCCCCCCGCCTGGACCCCCGGGCTAGGCAGGGCCACCAAGGACACGAATGTGCCCGGCCTCAGCGCCGGGCGGGGAGCGGCATGAGTCAGGACTGCGGGCGTCTCGCGTGGGGGAGGGGAGCGGAGTGGGGGTGCTGAGGGGGTTGGCCCTGCGCCGACCCCCTCCCTCAGCCAGGACAGGGTCGTCACCGTCCTTTCCCCCTTCCCCGTCCCCCCCGCAATGAATCAGCAGTTTGGGGGGAGGGCCGGCAGTGTGTGTGTGCGTGTGTGCGTGTGTGTGTGTGTGTGTGTGTCTCCCCGTCTCCATCCACCTTAAGAGCCGCGGGCAGCTCCACCTTAACGCGAGGAGGGGAGGGCATGTGCGTGCGGGGGGGGGGCGGCCTCTCCCCCCGCCCATCACCCGGTACCGGGGCTGCAGTGGCGACAGCAGCGCGGTCACTGGAGCAGGGGGCAGCAGCAGGAGCGCTGCGGAGCATCCCCCGCCCGGCGCCGCCCTCCCTCCCGCATCCTGCATCCCCGGGTACCACTCGGCATCCCCGGGCAGCATCCTGCATCCTTGGGCAGCATCCTGCATCCCCGGGTACCACTCGGCATCCCTGGCCAACAGCCTGTATCCCTGGGCAGCATCCTGCATCCCTGGGCAGCATCCTGCATCCCTGGGCAGCATCCTGCATCCCTGGGTACCACTCGGCATCCCTGGGCAACAGCTTGCATCTCTGGGCAGCATCCTGCATCCCTGGGGACCACCCAGCATCCCCGGGCAGCATCCTGCATCCCCGGGCAGCATCCTGCATCCCTGGGCAGCATCCTGCATCCCTGGGGACCACCCAGCATCCCTGGGTACCACCCTGCATCCCTGGGCAGCATCCTGCATCCCTGGGTACCACTTGACCCTTAGGTTATAACCCGCATCCTTGGGTACCACCCACATCCCCGGGTGACATCCCACACCCTTGGCTACCAGCAGCACCCCTGGGCCCCCCTTCCGGCCCCCCCAAACTCTCCTCGACGCCCCTCCCGGCCTCCCCCGCCATGGCCGAGCCCAGCACCGAGTGCAGCATCAAGGTCCTGTGCCGGTTCCGGCCCCTCAACCAGGCGGAGATCCTGCGGGGGGACAAATTCCTGCCCGTCTTCCAGGGCGACGACAGCGTGGTGGTGGGGGTGAGTGCGGGGGGGGGAGCACAGGGACCCCCCCTCAGCCTCGGTGTGGCGGGGGTGGGGATGGGGGAGCAGTCGGAGGGAGGGGGGAGGAATAGGCAGGTTGGGGGTAACCGCCCTGGGGGGTTGGGGTACCAGTCAGCTTGAGGGGGAGAGAGCCTGTTTGAGGGGGGGGGGGGATCACCCTGGCTGAGGCCAGAGCCCAGATGGGCCCAGCCCCCCCTCCCCACCGAGGCGTTTCCCCTGCCCCCCCCCCACCGCATGCCCCTCCCTTACCCTCCCCCTCTATTCCTTTTCTAAGGTTCCCAGCACTCCCAGTTTCCCCCAGTCTGGCCCAGTGCCGGGGGGGGGGGGTGCTGGGTGGTGTTTACAATGAGCGGTGACGCCCTGACCCCCGCGGGGGGGGGTTGGGGGGTGTTGCCGCAGATCCTGTCCCACCACCACGCTGCGGCCCGGCCCTTTGTTAGGGGGTGAATCCGGGGGGGTGGGGGGGGGCTCAGGGACCACGGCCAAGCCCCCCAATATAACGCCACACCTATAAGCCACCCACCTTTCAGGGGGCCGAGTACGGGGAGGGGGGTTCTCCTGCACGGAGGGCCCCTCCCCGTCTGGGCGCCCCGGCCCTGAGGTGAGGGGGCCCCGGGGAAGGTGGGTGGTCCTTGGGGTTGTGATGGGCGCTGCGGGGTCCCCCGGGGGTGCAGTGGGGCGGGGATGTGCCGGTTCCGTGGGTGGTGGTGTGTCGCTGTGCGGTTGTGCCGGCGCAATGCGGGGTGTTGCGTGGGGCGTTTGTGCGGTGGGAGGGAGGGTGGGGTGGGGGGGTTGAGCGACCGGGGCTGCGTGGGGGGGTTGTGCGGGGGGGGGATGCGTGTTGGGGGGGTGCGTGACTGTCCGCGGGCAGGGCGGGGCGGTTGTGCCTGCGTCGTGCTGCGGCGGCTGAGGGAGGCTGGGGGGGGGGGGGGCGGGGGGGGCGGTGTGGGACAGGCTGGTGTCGCCGGCTGTCCCCGTGTCCGTGTGTCCCCGTGTCCGAGTGTCCCCGTGTCCGTGTGTCCCCGCGGTGGCTGCGGCAGTTCAGCACCGCGGCCTGGACAGCTCCTGGCCGGGGGGGGGAGGTCTACGGGGGATTATGGGGGGGGAATGGGGGGGTATGGGGGGATGTGGGGGTGCTGGGGAGATACGGGAGTGTGTGGGGCTGTGGAGGGGTTGGGGATCTATGGGAATCTGTGGGCGGCTGGAGGTATATGTGGATCTATGGATGTGTATAGGGGGCTGGGAGTTTGGGGGTCTATGGGGGGACTGGGGGTCTCTTGTGGCCTATGGAGGGGCTGAGAGGTCTACGGGGGTGTATGGGGCTTGTATGGCAAAGCTGTGAGCCTGTGGGGGTCTATGGTGAGTACAGGAGGCTTTATAGGAGTTTGAGGGTATATGGGGGTCTCTGTGGAAGTTTTGGAAGAGCCTATTGTGTTCTGGGGGGTGTATGGGGACTGGAGGTCTAGGAGGCTGTGTGGGGTCTGAGGTTCATAGAGAATGTGAAGTCTATAGGGGTATATGAGGAGTGTATATGGGGGTCTGGGGTATATGTGGATATTAGGGGGGCCTGGGGGGTGTATGGGGTCTGGGGCACCTGAGAATGCATGAGGCTTATATGGGGTTCTGGGGGTGTGGGTGTACGAGGGGATTTGGGCTGTGTGAGAGGTCCCCTGCAACCTCCCACCTCCCTTACTGAGGTTCACTGGAGGTTACTGGCTCCCCTGCAAGGGGACCCCTGGGCCTGGTACAGCCCCCAGAACCTTGGGGGGGGTCTCTCCTGGCCACTGACCCCCATGTCCCTGTTCCCCCCCAGGGCAAACCCTATGTCTTCGACCGCGTCTTCCCCCCCAACACCACCCAGGAGCAGGTCTACCACGCCTGTGCCATGCAGATCGTCAAGGGTGAGGGCCAGAAGCTTGGGTCCCTGGGAGGTGGGTGCCGGAGGGGGTCTTAGCTGCTGGACCCTCCTCCAGGGACACCCAGATCGATGGGAGCACTGGAGGGTGCCTGGGTGTTGACAGGATCAGGTTGAGGGGTGATGCTGGCACAGAGATGTACAGGGGGTCCTTGGGGGTATCCAGCAGGTCTTGGGGCCTCTGCAGGACTTTATGGGGGCCACTGCAATCTCCATGGGTTCTGGGGGTAACTGTGAGGTTATTTGGGGTATCTCAGGGGTCCTTGGGCATCTCTGGGGGTCTTGGAGATGATCTCAGGTGCCTAGGGTGGGTAGGAAGCTCTTGGGGATCTCAGGGGAGTCCCTCGGGGTTTCAGGGGGTCTGTGAGGTCCCAGTGGGTCCTGGGAGTCCTCAGAGGTTCCCAAGGGTCTCAGAGGGGCTTCTGTCACCCTGCCCCTCCCCACAGATGTGCTGGCCGGGTATAACGGCACCATCTTTGCCTACGGACAGACATCATCAGGCAAGACACACACCATGGAGGTGAGGGGCCAGGGGAGGCTTTGGAAGGGGAAGGCAGCACCCCCTGGGCCCTGGCACCCCCCTGGGAGCTCAGCACCACCTCCCCCCCCCTGCCCAGGGCAAGCTGCATGATCCCCAGCAGATGGGCATCATCCCACGCATCGCCCAGGACATCTTCAACCACATCTACTCCATGGACGAGAACCTTGAGTTCCACATCAAGGTCAGCTGTGGGAGGGACTGGGAGCACTGGGAGGACTGGGAGGTCGGGTCCTGACACCCCCCCCCCCCGACACTCCCAATTCCCTCCTACTAGGTTTCTTACTTTGAAATTTATCTGGACAAGATCCGGGACCTGCTGGACAGTGAGTGGGGGGACATGAGGAAATACTGGGTGGGCACTGGGAAGCACTGGATGGTACTGGGAGCTCCTAGGGCATGTTGGGGGGTCAACCCCCAGCCCCCTTACCCCACGTCCCCCCCACCAGTGACCAAGACCAACCTATCGGTGCACGAGGACAAGAACCGGGTTCCCTACGTCAAGGTGAGGAGCAGCTCAGAGGGTCCCTTGGGTGGGGGACCCCAGGAGGCACCCCAGAGGGGAGGATGTGGCCTCACCTCCCCCTGCACCCCCAGGGCTGCACCGAGCGCTTTGTCTCCAGCCCCGAGGAGATCCTGGATGTGATCGATGAGGGAAAATCCAACCGACATGTGGCTGTCACCAGTGAGCCCCAGGGACATGGGGACACGGGGGGATGCTGGGCAGTGGTGGGGGCAGAGTGAAGTGGGGGGATGTGGGGTGCTGGTTGCTGCTGTGCAGGGTACTGTGGGGTGTCAGGGGTGCTGGGGGGTTCTGGGGCACCATGGAGGTCCCTGGGATGCTGGGGGGGGAGGCCTGGGGCACTGTGGGGGTCCCTGAGGGTCAGTGGGGGACCCCTGGGGAACTGCAGCGTCTCTGGGGCGTTGCGGGGGTGCTGTGGGGGTCCAGTAGGGTTGGGGGTTTCCCAGGGGCTGGAGGCACAGGCGTGCAGCCTCTCCCCATGCCCGCAGACATGAACGAGCACAGCTCCCGCAGCCACAGCATCTTCCTCATCAACATCAAGCAGGAAAACGTGGAGACAGAGCAGAAGCTCAGTGGGAAGCTCTACCTGGTTGACCTGGCTGGGAGTGAGAAGGTCGGGGGGACCCCGGCGCTGGGGGACCCGGGGGGGGCTTGGGCTGGGGGGGTTCTGGGGTCTTTGGGGGAGCCCTGGGCTGGGGAATGTGAGATTGGAGGATCTCAGGGGGAACTTGGGTGGAGGATGTCCCCAAGGAGGACGTTGAGATGGTGGAGGCCTTGGGGGGGGTCTGTGGGCCGTGGTACATTGGGGTTAGGGGTCTCCAGGCTGGGGTGGGGGTCTTTGGATGAGGAGTTTCTGGATTGAGGGTCTAGGGGGGGTTCATGGGCTGGGGGTGCCCCTGAGGCGGAGGTCCCGGGGGTAGGGGTGGCTCCACGTGGGTCCCCGAGCTGCCTGGCCCCACAGGTCAGCAAGACGGGGGCTGAGGGGGCCGTGCTGGACGAGGCCAAGAACATCAACAAGTCTCTGTCGGCGCTGGGCAACGTCATCTCGGCCCTGGCCGAGGGCACGGTGAGAGCCCACACCCCTGCCCCACCGGTCCCTGCCCGCCTGCTCTGCCCCACGGGACCCTGGGGCTGCCGAGGCCCTGCTGAACCCCCTTCCCCCCCGCAGAAAGCCTACGTGCCCTACCGGGACAGCAAGATGACGCGGATCCTGCAGGACTCGTTGGGGGGGAACTGCCGCACCACCATGTTCATCTGCTGCTCCCCCTCCAGCTACAACGATGCCGAGACCAAGTCCACCCTCATGTTCGGGCAGAGGTAGGGGAGGGGGCTGGGGGTGTCGGGGTGCCCTTTGCACGCCTCTGCACCTCAGCTGTGCCTCAGCTGCACCACATGCACCCGTTGTGTCCCAGCTGCATCTCAGCTGCACTCTAACTGCACCTCGCGCACCCATTACACCCCGACTTCTCCCCATGTACCTGTTGCACCCCAATGGCACCCTGTGCATCCACTGCACCCCAACAGCACCCATGGAACACTGACTTCACCCCAGGTACCCGTTGCAACCCAACTGCACTCCATGCACCCATTGCACCCCGGCTGTGCCTCAACAGCACCCCATGTACCTGTTGTACCCCAAGTGCACCGCATGGGCTCATCGCACCCCCAGCTTTACCCCGAGAGCACCCACTGCACCCCAGCTGCACTCCATGCATCCTTTGCACCTCAAGTGCACCCCAAGCACCCGTGGCACCCCAACTGCACACCCCGCACGCCCCGGCAGGGGAAAGGAGGCTGCATCAGGGGTCCCCAGACCTGGGAGTGGGGGGAAGGTGGACCCTGAGATGGGGGTCGCTGTCGTTGGCACCTCAGGGAGTTCCTTGAGGGATGCTGCCTGGAAAGTGGAAGCGGGGGGGGGGCCCAGTTGAGGGGTATCCCCCCCAATACAGGGCCAAGACCATCAAGAACACGGCATCAGTGAACCTGGAGCTGACGGCCGAGCAGTGGAAGAAGAAGTACGAGAAGGAGAAGGAGAAGAACAAGGCGCTGAAGGAGACCATCGGGAAGCTGGAGGCTGAGCTGAGCCGCTGGCGGAGTGGTGAGGGGGGACCCCAGTGTCCGGGGGGGGGCACCCCACCCCCCACAGCACCGGATGGGGAAACTGAGGCTGTGTCCCTGTGTCCCCAGGGGAGGCTGTGCCCGAGACGGAGCAGCTGAGCGGGGCCGAGGCGGAGGCCAGGACAGGCGAGGGGACAGGGATGGGACCCACCAGTGAGACCCCCCTCAATGACAACAGCTCCTCCATTGTCATCCACATCTCCGACGAGGAACGCCGCAAGTATGAGGAGGAGATCCGCAAGCTCTACAAGCAGCTGGATGACAAGGTAGGGACCCCCCCCCCGACCCCTCCCTGGGTCCCTTGGGAACCCCCAAAGACCCCTCTAGACCTGCCAGGGACACCCCCCCAAAGACCCTTGAGACTCTCCAGGACCCTTGGGGGCCTCCTAGGACCCCAGCAGCCCCCAGGAGCCCCAGGACCTCCTGGCAGCCTCCAGGACCCCCCGAGACCCCCCCACCACACCCAGCCCCTTGGGGCCAGCAGGCATGGACCCTCCTGTCCTCTCCCCAGGACGATGAGATCAACCAGCAGAGCCAAATCATGGAGAAGCTCAAGCAACAGATGCTGGACCAGGAGGAGGTGAGGGGCCCACCCCTGCCCTGCCCCCCCCAGCCCCCATGTCCCCCATCTCTGACTAACCCCATAACCTCACCCTGCTGGGACCCCAGACTGATCCCGCTGGGCCCCCCACCCAGACCTTCTGGGACCCCCACCCTGATCACTTGAACACCTCCACCCTGAGTCCCTGGGACGCCCCAAGGTGACCCTGTTGGAACCTGAGACCCCCACCCTGACCCCCTGGACCCCTCCACCCCAAGCCCCTGGGACCCCCCAGTCCGACCCCACCAGAACCCCTCTGGGACCTCCTGGGACCCATCTAGGACCCCCACCCTGACCTCCTGCACCCTGAGTCCCTGGGACCACCCCCTCTACCTGGTCCAGCTGGAACAGCTCTGGGACCCCTTCCCAGGACCCCCTCCCTGATCCCCTCCACCCTGACCCCTGACACCCCTCTGAGACCCCCCAGCATGACCCCTCGGACCCCTCCGGGCTCCGCAGGTGCTGGCAGCAGCGCGGGGGGGCGGGGAGGCGGCGCGGCGGGAGCTGGCGGCACTGCGGGCCGAGCACGGGGCAGCCCGTGCCGAGGTGGCCGAAGTGCTGGCGGCGCTGGAGGAGCTGGCACGCAGCTACGACCGCAAGGCACAGGAGGCCGAGGACACCGGCCGCCACAACCGCCGGCTGGCCGACGAGCTGGCCCGCACCGAGGTGACCCCCCCGGGACCCCTGGCCGGGACCCCCAGCAGGCACCCAACTGGGATTCCTGACAGGATCCTACTGGGAACCCCCGTGGGCATCCAACTGGAACCCCTACTGAGATCCATGCTAGACCCCTCTGGGAACCCCAAGGCTCCTCAGCTGGGAACTCCTCTAGTCTACTGGAAATGCCCATGGACACCCAACTGAGATCTCTGCTGCGGCCCCCAGTTGCCACCCCAGCTGGGATCCTGAAAGTGGCTCCTCAACTGGGAACCCCACGAGGACCCTACTGGGAATCCCAACTACCAGCCCAGCTGGAATTTCTACTGGGAGCCCCAAAGTGGCTCCTCAGCTGGGAACCCCACGAGGACCCTACTGGGAATCCCGACTGCCAGCCCAGCTGGAATTTCTACTGGGAGCCCCCCTGGAAATCTACTGGGAACCTTGCCTGGCAAATGGAACCCAGACTAGGAAACAACGGGGACTCGGATCAGCACCCCAGCTGGGGCCCCCAGAGCCAAGGCCCCTCCAAACTGGGACCCCCACATGAGGGCCCCAGGATGACATTGGGACCCCCAGCCCCTGAACCAGCAAGTTCCAGAGCCTGGTCCCTCAGGTGTAAACTGGGATGCTCTGGGCCAGACATCCCCTGAAACAGGAGCCTCAGACCTGGGAGCTCCCTAAATCCCAAGCCAGACCCCAAAGAGAGGAAACCCAACGCACCCCTCAAACCAGACCCCAAAGAGGGGCATCTCCCCACACACCCCAAACCGGACTCCAAAGAGGGACCCCCACACCAAACACTCCCCAAAGAGGGACACTCCCCCTAATCAAACCCCAAAGAGGGGGGACCCACTCAAACCACACCCCAAAGAAGGGACCTCCCCAACCAGAAGAGGGAATCCCACCCCTCAAACCACATCCCAAACTAGGAGACTCTCCCCTTAAACTGGGATGCCAGACTGAATGCTCCTGGGGGACCAAGAGCAGCCCCCCCATGGGTGGAGTGGGTGGGATCCTGGGGTGCTGGGGGGTGGGTGTCAGGGCTGAGGGTGCCGGGAGGTGCTGGGGGGTGCTGAGGGGGGTGCGGGGGGGTGTCAGGGTGCCAGGCTGTGCTGTGCCCACAGGCGACAACGCTGTCGCTGGAGACGGAGCTGCAGCGGGTGCGGGAGCTGGGGGGGCAGCAGCGCAAGCGGGCAGCCGAGGTGCTCAACGGGCTCATGAAGGACCTGAGCGAGTTCAGCCTCATCGTGGGCAACGGCGAGATCAAGCTGGTGAGGGGGGGGGACACAACACACCCCTTCCGGGCTGCCTGCTGCGCCTGGGCCACACCGCGCTGTACCCACGTGTGTGCCATGCTGTGTCCGTGCCACACCAATGCCACGCGTGTGCCACACTTGTGCCGTGCCATGCCACGCAGTGCCCATGACCCCTGTGTCACATCGTACCCATGTGCATGCCGTGCCCACGCCGCGTGCGGTACATGTCCATGCTACGCCATGCCTATGCCATCCTATGCCACGCTGTGCCCGTGTCCAGCCTGTGGAGGTGAGCGGAGCCATCGAGGAGGAGTTCACTGTCGCCCGGCTCTACATCAGCAAGATCAAGTCGGAGGTGAAGTCGGTGGTGAAGCGGTGCCGTCAGCTGGAGAACCTGCAGGTGGAGTGTCACCGCAAGATGGAGGTGACCGGGCGAGAGCTCTCCTCCTGCCAGCTCCTCATCTCCCAGGTGTGCTGGGGACAGGGACAAGTGGGGACCTCCCGGGAGCAATGCCACCACCGCTGTGACCCTGAAGTTTAGTGGCCCCAGGGCTCGGTGACCCCAGGGTTTGGAAGCTCTGGGGTTTAGTGGCTTTCGGAATTTGGTGGCTCTGGGGTTTGATGGCCCAAGGGTTTAGTGACCTCAGGGTTTGGAAGCTCTGGGGTTTAGTGGCTTTCGGAATTTGGTGGCTCTGGGGTTTGATGTCCCAAGGGTTTAGTGACCCGAGGGTTTGGTGGCCCCAGGGTTTCGCAATCCTGGTGTTTGGTGGCTCCAAGGTTTGGTGACCCAAGGTTTCGGTGATCCTAGGATTTGGTGGACGAAAGGTTTGGTGACCCCAGAGCTTGGTGGCACTGGGTTAAGTGTTCCCAGGGCTTCGTGGTCCAGGAGTTTGGTGTTCCCAGGGCTTGGTGACCCCAGAGTTTGGTGTTCCCGGGGTTTGGTGACCCCACGGTTTTGTGGCCCTGGGGCTTGGTGACCGCACTGTGATGGGGACGAGTGGGGACCTCCCAGGAGCAATGCCACCACCGCTGTGACCCTAAAGTTTGGTGGTCCAGGATTTTGTTGGTCCCAGGGTTTGGTGACCCTAGAGTTTGGTGTTCCTGGGGTTTGGTGACCCCACGGTTTTGTGGCCCTGGGGCTTGGTGACTGCATGGTGATGGGGATGAGTGGGGACCTCCCAGGAGCAATGCCACCACCGTGGTGACGCAGGGGTTTGATCACCCTGTGGTGTGATGCCAGGGTGGCCCTGGGGGGTAGCGGGGGGGGGGGGGTGGCAGCCATGTACCCCCAGCCGGGGGGCTGTGGCTGAGGCTGGTTCTACAGCACGAGGCGAAGATCCGCTCGCTGACGGAGTACATGCAGACGGTGGAGCTGAAGAAACGGCACCTGGAGGAGTCATACGATGCCCTGAGCGAGGAGCTGGCCCGGCTGCAGGCCCAAGGTACGGGGGGGTTGGGGGGGGGGGCACAGGGGGGCTGGGGGAACTCAGGGGGCTGGGGAGCATGATAAGGGCTTGGGGCCTCAGGGGAGTGAGGATCCGGCAGCACTGGGGCGTGTGTAGGAAGCTCAGCAGGCATGGAAATGTTTGGGGGCTGGGGGGCTCACAGTGGGACTCAGGAGGTGGAGGGGGGGTGTCCCTGTCTTGTCTCGTTCCCCCAACGTGAGATGCGTCCCACAGAGACGGCACAGGGGGTGGCCCGGAAGGAGCGGGAGCAGGATGAGACCCAGGAGACGGATGAGGTCAAGGTGAGGGTGCCAGGGCGGGCAAGGCACTCCCAGGGTCACTGCGGGGTGGCTGAGGTCCCTGAAGGGTGTAGGGGTCCCAAAAAGGGGGGTTAGCTGGGAGTCCTTATGGCTTGTGGGGCATCCTAGGGGTGGTGTGGGGGTCCCTGGGGAGGCTGAGGGGCTGGAAAGGCTCTGGGGGGAGAGGTCCCTGGGGTGCTGGAAAAGCTGGGGGTTGCTGAGAGGGTGCTGGGGGTCTCTGGGAGGTGTGGGTGGGTTCTGGGGGTCCGCAGGGTGCTGGGGGCCCCTGGGAGGGGTTGGGGTACAGGGGTGTCCTCGCCCGGGCTGAGGGCAGCGGTGCAGAAGGCGCTGGAGCTGCAGCTGGAGAGCCAGCGGGAAGCCCAGCACAAGCAGCTGGCGCGGCTGCGGGACGAGGTCAACGAGAGGCAGAAAACCATCGACGAGCTGCGGGAGTGAGTGGCCCCGGGCCTGGCCCCAGCCCCCTCCCCACCTTCATCCCCAGCTTTGACCCCGACCCCGACCCCATCCCTGTCCCCGACCTTGATCCTGTCCCCATCTCCAACTCCAGACGCCCCCCCGTCCCTCTCCCCAGCCCTTCCCTGGACACACCCCTGGCCGGATGGAGGTGGGGGGTCAGAGACTGTCCCTCTGTGGGTCTGTCCATCTGTCCATTCCCCCCCCCCCCGCATCCGTCCATCCGCCCCCGACCACCCATCCATCTGTCCGTCCATCCCGCAGCCTGAACCAGAAGCTGGAGCTGGAGCTGGAGAAGCTGCGGGCAGAGCACGAGGCGCTGCGGGGCGAGGAGCGGGCCAAGGCTGCCCGGCTGCAGGAGCTCACGTGAGACTCTCACACCCCCGGGGGGCCCTGGGAGTCCGGGTTGGGGTCCCAGGGCCCCCCAGGACCTGCTGACACCCCTGGGACCCCTAGAGACACAGCATCCCCCTCCACACCCAGGAGTCCTGGGACCGCCCCGGAGATGTCCCCCCCTGACACCTCCAGGACCCCCCCATCACCTCTGGGACCCCTGACATCCCTGGGACACCATCCTCACACCCATGGGCACACCCCCCAGGACCCCTCCATCACCCCTGGGACCCCTGACATCACTGGGACACCACCCCCAACCCACAGGGACACCCCCCAGGACCCTGCACCATTTCCAGGAGTCCTGGGACCTCCAACACCCCCAGGAGCCTCGGGGACCCCCCCACCATCCCTGGACCCCCAACATCACTGGGACACCACCCTCGCACCCATGGGGCCACCCCCCAGGACCCCTCCATCACCCCTGGGACCCCTGACATCACCCCTAGGACCCCCACCATGGGGACCCCCCCCCCCCCGGACCCTGCACCACCTCTAGAAGCTCTGGGACCCCAAACAGCTCCAGGAGCCTTGGGGACCCCCCCCCCAGGACCCCCGACATTACCAGGACTCCCCACCCCGTGGGGACACTCCTCAAGACCCTGTACCGCCTTGGAGCCCCCTCTCAGCCCTCAGGCTCCCCCCAAAAAGACCCTTGAGGGCCCTCCAAGCCCCCAGGAGCCCTCAGCACCACCCCCACCATTCTTGTGCCTCTCCTGAGCCCCCCACAACTCCCCAAACTCCCCCCCCCGCCCTTGGAGTGATCCCCCACATCCTTGGGGTGACCCCCCCGTCTCCCTGCCAGATTTCTCTACGAGCGCCACGAGCAGTCCAAGCAGGACCTCAAGGGGCTGGAGGAGACGGTGGTAGGTGGGGGGGTGTGGGGGGGGTCTGAGGGGAGTTGAGGGGGTCTGGGGGTCACCAGGCACCCCCTCACCCCCCGTCCCACTCCAGGCCCGTGAACTCCAGACCCTCCACAACCTGCGCAAGCTGTTTGTTCAAGACGTCACAACTCGAGTCAAGAAAGTGAGGAGAGGGGGTGTGAAATGGGGGGGAGGGCAAAGGCAGAGGTAAAAGGGGGGGGGGGCAAGAGGTGAAAGTGGGGTAAGGGGAGAGAGTGGGGTCAGAGCTGGGGTGTGACGGTAGGGCTGTGAGGGGAGGACGGAGGGCGTTGGGGGGATGGGGGGGGGGGGGTCCTGGCCTAGGAGTGGTCTAAGCATAGATTGGTGGTCCCATCTCAGGTGGGGGGGTCCCTTTGCAGGTCAGAGGGGGTCCCATTCCAGGTGGGGGGTCCCAGCCTGACCACGGTTGGGGGTCACAGGTTGGCTGTGGAAGTCTCAGCTTGAGCACCATGGTGGGCCCTGGCCCAGGTCGAGGAGGGTCTCAGCGTGTGCCGGGGGTGCCAGCCTGGGCTGGGGGGGACACCATCGCCTGACTGGGGGGGGTTCTGGGCCGGCGGGTCCCTGCATGCCCCTCCGCCCCCCTGCAGAGCGCAGAGCTGGAGCCTGAGGACAGTGGGGGGCTGCACTCCCAGAAGCAGAAGATTTCCTTTCTTGAGAACAACCTGGAGCAACTTACAAAGGTTCACAAACAGGTGGGCAGGGGGGGGCAAAGGGGGGCCCCTCACCCCATGCCCTCACCCCAGGGCCCCTCCAGCCACCCTATGCTGCCAGCTTCCCCCTTGGCTTCCCAATGACCCCCCCCCGCTGGCATCACCTCTCCCTCCCCGCTCCATCCTGCCTCCCCCCCCCCCCCCCCAAAGCTCCTCCGGGGGGTGGCATGGCCGGGGAAGGGGGGGGCACATGCCGGTGCCTGCTCTGTTGCCCTTCCTCCCCCCCCGCCTCCTCCCTAGCTGGATCTCTAGGTGTCCAAGATACCACGACCCCCCCACGCAGGACGCACGTGGGGGACTCCAACTCCCCTCCCCTGCCCCAGCCACCTGCAGCCCCCCCCATTTTTGCAGTGTGTGTGGGAGGAACTTCCCTGCCCAGCGCTTTGCTGCCTGCCCCCCAGCTGCTTCCCCCCGTGCCTGGCTGGGGCGTCCCCTGCCCCCCAACCTACCTACCTCCCCTCGGCTCAGCTTCACCGTCACCCCCCCACTGCTGCACGTGGCCACGGTGGCGGTGCTGGGGGGCTGGGAGCCCCAACTGGGCACTGCTGGGAGGCTGAGACCCCTCCCTTAGGCACCCCTGGGGGGGGAGAGGCAGCCTGGGTGGGTGCTATACGGCACCCTTGGGGCTGCTGGTAGCGGGGTGCCGCGGGGTGCCCGGCGCCGTGCCCGGGGCGGAGCTGGGTGCTGGTGGGGCTGCTGGCGTGAGGGTGCAGGTGCTGATGGGTGCTGGGTGCAGGGGGGAGCCCCGGTGCTGATGGGTGTCCTGGTGTGGGTGGGTGCTTTGGTGCCAGTGGGTGCTGCAGCACCGGCAGCTGCCCCGGTGCTGGTGGGTGCTTGGTGTGGGTGCGTCTGGGTGCTGGTGGGTGCTTGGTGTGGGTGGGCACCCGGTGCTGATGCGTGGCCGGTGCCAGTGGGTGCCTCGGTGCTGCCATGGGTGCCTGGTGTGGGTGCCGGTGGGTGCTGCTGGTTGCGGGTGGGTGCGGGTGGGTGCCGGTGGGTGCGGGGGTCCCGGGGTGCCGGGGTGCCGGTGGATGCCGGGCGATGCCGGGCGATGCCGGGTGATGCCGGTGGGTGCCGGGCGATGCCAGGCGATGCTGGTGGGTGCCGGTGGGTGCCGGGCGATGCCGGGCGATGCCGGGCGATGCCGGGCGATGCCGGGTGATGCCGGTGGGTGCCGTGGGTGCCGTGGGTGCCGTGGGTGCCGGGTGATGCCGGGCGATGCCGGTGGGTGCCGTGGGTGCCGTGGGTGCCGGGCGATGCCGGGTGATGCCGGTGGGTGCCGGGCGATGCCGGTGGGTGCCGGGTGATGCTGGGCGATGCCGGTGGGTGCCGGTGGGTGCCGGGCGATGCCGGGTGATGCCGGGCGATGCCGGGTGATGCCGGTGGGTGCCGTGGGTGCCGTGGGTGCCGTGGGTGCCGTGGGTGCCGGGTGATGCCGGGTGATGCCGGTGGGTGCTGTGGGTGCCGTGGGTGCCGTGGATGCCGGGCGATGCCGGTGGGTGCCGGTGGGTGCCGGTGGGTGCCGGGTGATGCCGGTGGGTGCCGTGGGGTACCGGTGGGTGCCGGGCGATGCCGGGTGATGCCGGTGCGTGCCGTGGGTGCCGGTGGGTGCTGTGGGGTGCCGTGGGTGCCGGGGTGCGGGGGTGCCGGGCGATGCCGGGTGATGCCGGTGGGTGCCGTGGGGTACCGGTGGGTGCCGGTGGGTGCCGTGGGGTACCGGTGGGTGCCGGTGGGTGCCGGTGGGTGCCGGTGGGTGCCGGTGGATGCCGGGCGATGCCGGGCGATGCCGGTGGGTGCCGTGGGTGCCGGGCGATGCCGGTGGGTGCGGTGGGTGCCGTGGGTGCCGCGGGTGCCGTGGGTGCCGTGGGTGCCGCGGGTGCCGGCCCCGCGCTGACGCGGCCGCGCAGCTGGTCCGTGACAATGCAGACCTGCGCTGCGAGCTTCCGAAGCTGGAGAAGCGCCTGCGCGCTACGGCTGGGCGCGTGCAGGCCCTGGAGGGCGCGCTGAGGGACGCCAAGGAGGGCGCGCGCCTGGACAAGCGGCGGTACCAGCAGGAGGTGGAGCGGATCCGCGAGGCCGTGCGGGCCCGGGGCGCGGCCCGGCGCGCGCACAGCGCCCACATCGGTACCGGGGGGGGACGGGGGGGGGCCGGGGGTGTGGGGGGACCGGGGGGACCGGGGGTGAGCGGGGACCGGGGGTGAGCGGGGGGCGGGGGGATGCGGGGGGGGGCACGGGGACCGGGGGGGCGGTGGGGGTGCGGGGACAGGGGGTGCGGGGGGTGCGGGGACCGGGGGGGCGCGGGGGGGGGCAGGAGGTGCGGGGACGCGGGGGGGGCGCGGGGACCTGGGGTGCACGGGGTGCGGGGTGGGCACAGAAACAAGGGGTGCGCAGGGTGGGTGCGGGGGGATCGGGGGGGGCAGAGGGGGCCGGGGGTGCGGGGGGTGCGGAGGGGGCACAGAAACCCGGGGTTCAAGGGGGAAGCGTGGGGCACAGGGTGGGCACGGGCACCCGGATGCTCTGGGGTGCACAGGGTGGGGGGTGCAGGACCTGGCACCCAGCCTGACACCCCCTGGGGTGCACAGAGTCAGGGGACCCTCGCCGGGGGTGGGGCAGCACAGACCCTTGGGGGGGGGCATCCCGAGACACCCCAAGGCACTGGGTGCCAGCCAGCACCCCTCAGCCCCCCTGTCCCCCCCCCAGCCAAGCCAGTGCGGCCTGGGCAGGTGCCAGCGGCGTCACCCACCGGCCTCAGCTACACCAACAGCCTCTTCCAGGGTTACCCCGGAGGGGGGGCCCTGCCTGGCCCCCAGGGCCTGTGAGTGGGGGGGGCACGGGTGGGGGGTGGGTCCTGCAGGGAGGGAGGGCACTGGGGGGTGCAGGGTGGGGACAGGGCATGGGGGCCACAAGGATGCTGGGGGAAGGGGGGGGGCACAAGAGGGGCACAGGGGCTGTGGAGGGCCAGGGGGGGCAGCGGGGTGCAGGGCACCCCGGTGCCAGCAGTGCCCGGGGGGTCTCAAGACCTCTGTCCCCATGTCCCCATGTGTGTGTCCCCCCATCCTCACATGTCCCCCCCCCCACTCAGCTTTGCCAGCGGCCCAACCACGCTCTCCAGCAGCACCCCCCCGGACACCTACCAGCAGCTCAACGTGGATAATGGTGAGGGGGGGCGCCTTGGGGGGGGTTGGGGGGTCCCCCCGTAGCTCCTCCTGGAGCTGCTGCTCTTTCTTGCAGGGAACGTGACAGACATCAATGATAACAGGTAAGGGGGGGCTGGGCGGGGCTGCAGCCGGGGTGGGGGGGTGGGGTCCAGGCGCGGGGTGACTCCCATGTCCCCCCCCCAGGAGCGACCTGTCCTGCGCCTGCGAGGCCGAGGAGCAATCCAAGCTCTTCCCTCTGCGCCAGGAGACGGCGGCCAGCTAATGCCCCCCCCCCAGGTACCGGGGACCACCCCCGCCCGTTCCTCAGGTGCCCCCGGGGAGCCCCACGTCACCCCCACCACCACCCCTGTGTCCTTTGGGTTCCCCTGGCATCTCCCGAGCCCCACCCAAATCCCATGTGCCCCCCTCCTATCCCTTAGGTGCCCCCATATCCCTTGAGTCCCCAAATCTCACCTGTGTGTCCCCCCGCCTTGAGGTCACCCAACATCCCCCAGACCCACCTGGGAACCCCTAGACCCCCCACATCCCTTGAGCGCCCCCATATCCCATGGGTCCCCCTGAGCACCCCCACCCAGAGCCCTCCAGGACCTGGGGTCCCCCATATCCCTGGGGGACCTCCGGGGGGGGGGGGGGGGCTGCACCCCCACCCCTGCATGTCCCCCCCCCCCCAGGTCCCGCTGGACCCATCTCCGCTCGCATGTCCCGGTGTCACCTCCGTGTCCTGTGTGCTCGCCGCCACGCTCGCCCTGTCCTGCCCCATGGCGAGGGGGGGGGGCCCCGTCCTGGGGGGGTGGGGGGGCTGCCTGCCCCCCCCCCGGCCCTCCCCCCAGACCCCACCCTCCTGGGGGGGCCCTGGCCGGGGCTGGGGGTGCTGCCCAGGGTCCGCTTCGAGATGCCTTAAGCCGATACCTGGAGGAATTCTGCCCCCCCCGTCCCTGTCCCCAGCCCCCCAAGTGGGGGTCAGCCCCATAAATGGGGGTCAGCCCCCCCCCTCTTTGCACTCCCCTCCCCCCCCCCCGGGTCCCCTTGCTTGGTACCTCGGCTGTGGCCCCCACCTCCCCATACCCGGGACCCACTGTGCCACCCCACCCCTTCACCTGGGGGGGGTCCCTCAGGGCTCAGCCCCCCCCATAACCCCCCCCGCCCCCCTGCAGCGCTGCATGTCCCGCCCCAGCACCACTGGGAGCGGCTCAATAAAGGCCAGAGATGCTGAGAGAAGCCTGGGGGTCTGGGGGGATCCGGGGGGGCTTGGGGAGGGGGAAGTGGAGCGGGTGGGTGGGGCTGGGGGGGTCCGGGGGGGCTTGGGGTGGGTCTGGGTGGTTCTAGGGGGCCTGGGGGGTCTGGAGGGGGCTTGGGGAGGGGGAGGTGGGGGTCTCGGAGGGGGCATGTGGGGTCCGAGGGGATTGGGCGGGGGGGCTGGAGGGGCTTGGGGAGAGGGGAGGGGGAGGGGCTGGGGGGGTCTGGGGGTCAGAGCGGGTCCGGGTGGGGCTTGGGGAGGGGGAGGTGAGGGGGCTGGGGGGGTTCTGGGGGTCTGAGGGGGGCAGGGCCGCCCTGCGCCGCTGCTGCAGCCTCAGTTTCCCCAGCTGGAGCAGGACCCGTCCTGTACATGGCAACCCCTATAGGGAACATACGGCAGCCTCCAGCAAACAGCTGGTACTCTATAGGAAGCAGCCATCCCCTATCGAGAGCACGTCACCCTACAGCAAGCACGTGTCCCCTATAGCAATCACATCTCCCATAGGGAGCATACGTCCCCCATAGGGACCCCACGTCCCCTATAGCAATCACATCTCCCATAGGGACCCCACGTCCCCTATAGCAATCAATCACATCTCCCGTAGGGACCACACGTCTCCTATAGCGACCCCACGCTCCCTATAGGGAGCTGTCACGGTTTAACCCTGAGCAGCCGCCCAGCCCAGCGCGTGGGCTGAGCCGCGGGGTTTCACAGAAATGGGGAAAATCTCGTCTGTAAGAGCAGCGCCGAACAGGAGGGACCGAAACCAGAGAAACGGCCCCAAAAGCCGCACGGCGCCGCTCACGCGCCGCCCGGCAGCCGGTGCGGCTGGAGCGGCCCCGCCCCGGCCCTATAGGGAACGGGCCCCGCCCCTATAGCGATCACGTGTCTCCCATAGGGAACAGGTCCCACCCCTATACGGGACACACCCTTATAGCAGTCACACATCTCCTATAGGGAGCACGCCCCGCCCCTATCGGGAACAGGCCCCTCCCCTATGGCAAGCACGCCCCTATAGCAAGCACACATCTCCTATAGGGAACAGGCTCCTCCCCTATAGCGAACGGGCCCCTATACCGATCACGTGTCTCCTATAGGGAACAGGCCCCTCCCCTATAACGAGCACGTGGCTCCGATAGGGAACAGGCTCCGCCCCTCAGCGATCACGTGTCCCCGGTAAGGGGCTCCTGCCGGGCGGGGTGAGGAGCGCTGCGCGCGCAGGCCGCATGCGCGGGGCTGTCCCCGGGCGGCTTCCGGCGCCGCGGCGGGGCCGGGCGGAAGTGAGCGGCGGGGCCGGGCGGAAGTGAGCGGCGGGGGCGGGCGGAAGCGGTGGCCATGGCGGCGGCTGGGCCCGGTCCCGGTCCCGGTCCCGGTCCCGCGGCGCCGCGTACCAAGACCAAGAAGAAGCAGAAGCGGTTCGTGCCTCAGCGGGTAAAGGTGCTGCGGGCCGCCGACCCACTGCTGGCCGTGTTGGCCTGGGGCGTCAACCACCAGGTGAGGCCGGGAGCTGGGCACCGGCGCCGCCGGGGGGTAAGGACCGGGGCCGTCATCTCCCCGCTTCTCCCCCGCCCCGTCCTCGGGGCCCCGCTCCCTGCGCGCCCCCAGCCCTGTGGCCCGTCCCCTCCTCGCGGGGACACCCGGGGCCGTTAGCCGCGCCACCCCTCTGTGGGAGTACCCTCAACCGGAGGGTGGGTAACGGGTCCCCGTTGTCGCCGCTGTGCCCGGGGGGTGACCCTGGGGGGGGGGGGGGGGGTGTTGAGGCTGGTTTTGGGGGGGCCCAACCCAATCCCCCCCCTCCCAGATCAGCGAGTTGAGCCAGGTCCCGCTGCCTGTCATGCTGCTGCCCGATGACTTCAAAGCCAGCTCCAAAATCAAGGTCAACAACCACCTCTTCAACCGGTGAGCTGGGGGGGACACACCCATGGACACGAGTGGGGTCCCACCCCCGGGGGGGCCAATACCTCATGTTCCCCCTCCCCACCCCAAACCCCTCAAATCCCCAGGGAGAACCTCCCCAGCCACTTCAAGTTCAAGGAGTACTGTCCCCAGGTCTTCCGCAACCTCCGCGAGCGCTTCGGCATCGACGACCAGGATTACCAGGTGGGGTGGACAGCCCGGGGGGGGGGGGGGGTCTGGCTTTGGGGAGTGCCCTCCCCACCCCCCCCCCCCAGCTCGATGTCTGTCACCCTCATTGTTCCATCCCACCCACCAAAAAGGTGTCACTGACACGGAGCCCCCCGCACTCGGAGGGCAGCGACCGGCGGTTCCTGCTCTCCTCTGACCGGACGCTGGTGGTGAAGGAGCTGTCGAGCGAGGATGTGGCCGATGTCCATGGGCTCCTGTCCCACTACCACCAGGTACAGTGGGCTGGGGGGGTGGGGTTATGTGTCTGGGGGGAGGGTGGGACGGTCACCACATGTCCTGGTGTGTCACTGTGTCCCCTGCCTCCCCCAGTACGTGGTGCAGTGCCATGGCAGCACACTGCTGCCCCGCTTCCTGGGGATGTACCGGGTGAGCGTGGACAGTGAGGAGACCTACCTGCTGGTGATGAGGAACATGTTCAGCCACCGCCTCCCTGTCCACAGGAAATACGACCTGAAGGTAACAGGGTGTCCCCCAACCACAGGACACCCCCCCTTGGGGTGTGGGGGGGATGGACCTCCTCCATCACCGCATGTTACCTCTGCTTCTCCCCCACCTCTTCCCAGGGCTCCCTCGTGTCCCGAGAGGCCAGCGACAAGGAGAAGGTACCGGGGTGGGGTGATGCTGTGACCCCCGCAAACTTGAGGTGGGGGATCTCTAGTCATCGTTATCCTTCCCCTTCCAATAACAGCTCATTACCTGCGCCCCATAACGATGGCTCATTGTCCTAACGGCAGGGTTGGTGCAGGAGATCCAAGCCCTTTGGCTGCCTGCTCGGGGGAGTCCCCTTCATCCCTAGCAATCTCCTGGCTGCCCCTGCCCCCCGAGCTTGTTCCTTTTTGGGGGGGGGCTGCCCCACGTGTGCCCCCCCCCTCACCCCTGCAGGTCAAGGACCTGCCCACCCTGAAGGACATGGACTTCTTGAACAAGAATGAGAAGGTGTATGTGGGCGAGGAGGACCAGAAGGACTTCATGGAGAAGCTCAAGAGGGACGTGGAGGTGGGTGAGTTGGGGGGCTGCACCTGCCCTGGGAGCCATGGGGGGGGGGGGGGGGGCTGCACCCCCCACGGGGGCCATGGGAGTGCCCCCCATCAGTGTGGGTGACCCCCACCCACCCCAACTGACCTCTTGGTTCCCTCCCTGCCCAGTTCCTGGTGCAGCTGAAGATCATGGACTACAGCCTGCTGCTGGGCATCCACGAAGTGGGGCGGGCAGAGCAGGAGGAGGAGGAGGAGGTGGAGGAAGAAGAGGGTGGGGGGGGTGACGAGGCAGGGGCCACAGTGTTGGGGGGCTCCTACGGGACCTCCCCCGAGGGCATTGGCAGCTACCTCAACTCCCACCGCCCCCTCGGCCCTGGCGACTTCGACCCCTATGTCGATGTCTACGCCCTCCGCGGCACTGAGGGTGAGTGGGGTGGGGGGGGTGGTTCGGAGGGGGGTTTTGGGGGTGGGGGGCACCCCCCTGAACTGCTGCCCCTCCCTGTGTCGTGCCCCAGCGGCCCCCCGGCGGGAGGTGTACTTCATGGGCCTGATCGATGTCCTCACCCAGTATGACGCCCGCAAGAAGGCAGCACACGCAGCCAAGACCGTCAAACATGGGGTGAGGGGGGGGCTGGCAGGAGACCCTCTAGGTTTTGGTTTTTTTTTTGGTGTGGTGAGGTTGTTAGAGCCCTCCTGGGGTGGAGGAGGGGGGGGGCAGACCCCTGGCATGGTTTATGGGGAGGGGGGTGACAAGTGAGGGGTGCTGGTGGTGCCTATCATGCGGGGGGTGGTTGTTGGGGGGGGGGTGGTTGTTGGAGGGGGGTTGCTAGGGACAGGGGGGTGTGGTTGTTGGAGGGGAGGGGGGGATGGTTCTTGGAGGGGGGGGTGCTGGGGGGCTCTGACCCCACCCACCCCACTCCCTCCCCCCCCAGGCAGGAGCAGAGATCTCCACGGTGCACCCCGAGCAGTATGCCAAGCGCTTCCTTGACTTCATCACCAACATCTTTGCCTAGGGGAGGGGGCGCCCCCCTGTCACCCCTCCCCCAGGCATAGGCCCCCACACGGCAGCTCCCCCCACCCCAGCAGGCAGGGGCTTTGCTACTCAAGTGCCTTAACTTTATTTGAGGGGGGGGGACAGGGACGTTTCAGCCCCCTGCCCCTCCCAGCAGTGGAATGGTCTGGGGCTTCCAGACACACACACACACCCCCCTAAAAAAAAATAAAAGCCACAGTGGGGGTTATGGGATATTTCTGCCCCCACCATGCTCAGGGGTGGGAATCAAACACTACTTGCACCGGGGTGAGGGGGGGCTCTTTCCTTTTCCCCCACCCCAGGAGGGGGACCAGCACCCCCTGTTCTGGTGCTGGGGTGGGGGTACAGCTGAGCCGGGGGGGGCGCTGTCTGTTTCTTGGCCCCCTGCCTCCGTGGCCACCCCCCCCCCTCACCTAACGCAGCCCCCAGCAGTGGCCCCTGTTCCCCTGGGGGCAGGACCCCGGCCTTGCGTGACCCCCCTCGAGGGGGCGGGCCGGGCTTTGGGGGGTGACACAGGCCGGACCCCCCCATACGAGGAGGGGTGGGGTGTGTGCTGAGGGGCCTGCTCCCAGGCCCTGCTCCCCACCCCTGTGTCCTGAGAAATAAATTATTGAACTGCCCTCGGCTCCGCCCCTTTACCGGGACCCCTCCGGCGCCGCCTCCCCCCCGGACCCCCCTCCCGTGTTCCCCCGCTGTCGCTACCGGGGACCCCCCCCCCCCCCCCCCGAACCCTTCCCGTGACCCGCTCCCGGGTCTCCTGGCCCCGCCCCTCCCTCCTGGCCCCGCCCCCCGTGGCCCCGCCCCCGCCATCACGCGCCGTT